TAAAAACTGTTTTGAATCAGTTTTGAACTGATGTAGAGAAGTTTTCTTTTCGGAAACAATGTTTGGTAATCTTTTCCACAAAAGTGGTCCGCGATTCTGAATTGAATAAGAATTCTGTTTAGAATGAGATTTTGGAACAGCAAAGTGGTTTGCGCAAAATCTTGTAGCATATTTATGGTGTATTTTTTTAAAATAAGTTTCAAAGATTTTTGGGGACAGTCCATATTTTGTTTTATACATGAACTGTAGAACAAGATGGATATTAAGTTTAAAAATATTCAAGGCAGCAATTATACGTAAAAGAGGTTCACAAGGAATCACTGTACAAACTCCAAATATGATTCTAACAGCATGTTTTTGTTTGCTATCAAGTTTTTTTTAGCTCAGTGTGGTTAGAACTTGCCCATATGATGTTGCCGTAAGTTAAGTAACTATGTATACAAGAAAAATATAAATTCTTTAAGGACTTAAAACTTAAAATTGGCCTAACTCTATAAATCATTCCAATGTTTTTGAGATTTTTTTTTCTATAGAATTTATATGTATTTTCCATGATAGGTTTTCATCAAAGTTCACACCAAAAAATTTACAGATGTTTGTCTTTCAATGTTAGTTTTATTTATTAAGAGATCGGGCAGAACAAGCGGTATTTTTTTTTTGCTTTGTTTAGTTTGTGGAAAAGAGAAAATTTAGTTTTTTGAACATTCAAAGGCAATTAGTTGCATTTAAACTATTCATTTACTTTATTTAGTTCTTCATTTACTACATAAAAAGTGTTTCAATATTTTTGTGAGAATAAAAAAGATTCGAGTCATCTGCGAATAAAATAAATTTTAATATGTTTGACGTTGAAGACAAATCATTTATGTATAGTAAGAAAATTAATACCATCTTTACTTCATATCTTCAATCAGTCACTTAAATCCGGTAAAGTTCCGGAAAATTTGAAAATTGCTAGAGTGACTCCAGTAATTAAGTCTGGAGATGAGTAAGACCCTTCTAATTACAGACCTATATCTGTTTTGTCTTGTTTCTCGAAATTGCTTGAACGCATAATGCACAATAGGCTGTATAATCATTTAACTGAAAACAACATGTTATATAGTAAGCAATTTGGTTTCAAAAAACAACATTTAACAGATCACGCAATAGTAGAGTAAGTTAATCACTTATCTAATGCATTTAAAGAAGACTGTTTTACGTTAGGAGTTTTCATTGATCTGTCCAAAGCTTTTGATACGGTAAATCATTCCTTTTTAATAAAAAAACTGGAATATTACGGAATAAAGGAGTCAAACTTACTTTGGTTTGAAAATTACCTTTTGCACAGAAAAGAATACGTACAGTTTCTTATTATGTTAAAATTAAATAGTTTTAACTTTTAATTATTTTTAAAAACATTAATTTTTTAAAATAATTTAGTTTAAATATAATATTAAAATTTTTAACTATGTTCTTAATAAAAACATACTTTTTAAACCCCCTTACCGTTTTAAAAAAGTTGAGGTCGCCACGTGGCAAGTTCCTCAGCTAGCTTAAAATGCAAATCAAAAAACTTTATAGTTCTATAGATTTTACATCTATATATAAACATGTTGTTTACTAATTTTCCTTGCACAAACTCAACGTAGTTGTAAATAAACTTGAAATATTAAACTAAAATAACATAAGTATCTCAATAATAACACATACGTAAGAAAATTTAAAAAGTTGCCGGTGGTAAGTCTCGAACCACGGCTTTCTTGTGTGGAAGCTTAGCACGCTAACCACTCCGCCATGCAAGCATGCTGTTCATCGAATATTTAAAACTATATAAAAATTGTTTTTAACAGATATAGATGCTAAAGATCAGAAATTAAGAAGAGGTTGACGCAATGGAGTTTTTAAGTGAAAATCAAACTGTAAAGCTTGAATTATGTTTAAGCATATTTTAATGTTACATAACATGAAGTTTACGTACGTACGATATAAGTTTCACGTTTGCTCACGTTCAAGCTCACGTTTTCTTACAAAGCAAAGGTGAGACTCTTTCTTGCCAATACCTCGGTTGCAATGGCTACCAAGAGTTTTGTGTCAAATACGCTCCAAGGGACACTGCTACTACTATTAAAACTATTAAGTTCGACAATATTATATAGATTGCATATTCTTTTTTGCAATTGCATTTCTTATCAACTGGTTTTTAATTAAAACCTTTTATATATAGTTATATCTTAAGCTGTCACGTCAAGTAAGTTTTAAATTATTACTTTTTAGACTATGAATGCATTTATTACCATTTGGAATTTATAACCTTTATTAAAACAAATTTTACTTTTAGTTTCATCTGCTCCACCTTCAAACGGTAAGTTTATGAATCTGGAATGTCTCTGATTGATTATTAAGTTCCTTTTATTCCTATTTATATCATCTATTTAATACTTTTGTGTTTTGTTATATGAAGCTTATAGGTCATTTCGAACTTAAAATTAAAATCATTTACTAAAAGCCAGGACATAGAGTAATTACTATGTTTCAAAACATTTTTATTTTTTATTTTTTTTATATTAGGTTGGTGGGTTAAATATGATCATTTAAATGAGAAAATGTATACCAGTGCAACTTGTAATCTGGTAAGACAACTATATATTGTGCTTTCTCTTTTTTAATAATTGCATGTGAAATTGTTGAAAATGTCATTTCTATGTGTTTTCTTTTTTATGTTGGTTGAGGGGAAGGGGGAAAACCATCCCTCTCCTCAAATTGCACATCACTAATGTATGTTCTATAGTAAAAAAATATTGCTTTATGTAATACAACAATATTTTCAATACTAATATATGTTGTATAGTTATAAAAGATTATTTTTTGTAAGGTGGGGGTATGGGAAGAGGTGGTGCATCATACTTTCTTCATTTCAAGTCAATGTGTACATCAATAATAATGTTGAATAGTAATAAAAGATTATTTTTAATTTTTAACAGTGGATTTAATTATTGTAATAAAGATAAAATTATTTTTATTTTTTATGAGTCGGGGGGCGGGGGACGGTGCGACATACACCCTCTCCTAAAGTTAGTGTTGTACATCACTAATAAATGTTTTATAGTAAAAAAAAATATTTTTACTTTTTAACAAAATATTTAATTACCGTAAAAAAGATTAAATTATTTATTATATTAGAAAGAATTATTATTGTATTTAGGGTGTTATAACATCACAACCACATCTATGGCCAACTCTAAGGTCACGTTATTTTGTTTGGCAGTGTTTTGGAATTAAGTTATGGCAAAATTTTGTGTATAAAATATAACAATTACATTTAAAAAGTGCTTATTTCTGACAAAAACTTGTATTTTCTTAAGGGTTAGATAGTGTTTCATTACCCCCTCTGGCTCCCAAGATACACCCTACATCCAGGCACCAAAATTAACTTGTAGCCCATTAGTGCACCTATCTTGTGATACCAAAAAACAGGTATTTGGATAAAAATTGACAAAGTTATAACAATTTAAGTAAAAAAAATAATTATTTTGACCACAGTTTCTTCAACGATTCCATACATCTAAAATTTGCTACTAAAAATGTTATAACTTTTTTTAGAATTGTTCGTTTTTAATAACTTTTTCACCTTTAAAATACTGTATTGAAGGCCTATCTAATGATATATAACATTCTACTATATGATCAATATAAAAATTTCAGTGCGCGTACCTATATATATATATATATATATATATATATATATATATATATATATATATATATATATATATATATATATATATATATATATATATATATATATAAATGTCCGCTTTAGTCTACCTAGTTATGAGTAAGCTTTTTTAGATATCCTTGTAATGTGGTCTTTCTATTTCAGATTATTACTTATATTGATGCCTAGGTCTCCTCACTGTGTTGTTTTATTCAATTTGATGATTTTTCCCATCATGTGTCATATATATTTATTCAGATTATTACTTATGTTGATACCTAGGTCTTGTTACTGTGTTGTTTCATTTAGTTTGATGATTATTCTATTGTGGGTTGTATATATAATTATTTATATATACATAATGTATATATATATATATATATATATATATATATATATATATATATATATATATATATATATATATATATATATATATATATGTATATTTATATTATAATGTTTACATGATACATACATATTTATTGTATATGTGTGTGTGTGCTTATTGATCAGTGTTATATACTGTTGGAAAGACAGCTCTAAATGAAAAAAAAAATTTAGTTTTACTATATTGCTTTGATTCTGTCAAGTATTGCATATTTGATATCAGATGCCATTGCAATGCTAAACTTGTATTTTTTATAATGGTTTTTTATATATGTATGTATATATGTATGTATATATATATATATATATATATATATATATATATATATATATATATATATATATATATATATATATATATATATATATATATATATATATATATATATATATATATATATATATATATATATATATATATATATATATATATATATATATATATATATATATATATATATATATATATATATATATATATATATATATATATATATATATATATATATATATATATATATATATATATATATATATATATATATATGTACACATATATTTATAAATTATGTTAGTGTATTCTACAAATAGAGTGATGTCTGCAATGTTCTTAAAGAACAGAGCAATCAGGGCTGTGAAGTCATGGAGTTGGAGTTGCGACATTGTTAGTGATGTCGCTAAACAAAATCGCAACTCCGGCTCCAACCCGACGGGCATTTGTTTTTAAAAGTTATTTTAATTGTCTTTTAAACGTCTTCTAAACATTCTTACGCAAAAAACGTTTAAAAGATATTTAAAATACATTTAGAACGTAACTTTTAAAAACAAATGCCCGTCGGCAATAGTAAAACTTCTCGGTATTGCATGTTCATGTACAAAATATTTAACCTTTAAAGAACTTTTCATATATTTGACAAAAAAAAAAATATTTTGGAGTCGGAGTCGTTCTCTGAAAATTTCAGCGAAAAAAAGTTAGTACTTTTTTTTTCCCAACTCCACATGCCAGAGAGCAATAATAAATTTGTAATAACACTTATCTAATTCTCTTTGACATTTTGATTCTCCAACAGTAGGTTTATCAGTATTATCAGTAGGTTTATCAGTTTATCCTGATGAACCTACTGATGGAGAAACAAGGTGACAAAGAGAATTAGATAAATGTTTTTACTAATTTATATAAATATATATACATATATATATATATATATATATATATATATATATATATATATATATATATATATATATATATATATATATATATATATATATATATATATATATATATATATATATATATATATATATATATATATTTGTGTATAGGTAGCGATTCTTTACAGTTATTGGTGTTAGACAAAAACGTTATAATTTTCTTGAACTTTACTTGTTTATATCTTTTTTTAAGTTAAGCATGAAACTTTAGATTTTTTGCATTATTCAGTTTAAATTTACCTTTTCCAACCATTTATAGAAAGTACTATTTACTATATTATATACTATTTATATGGCTTCATTTATTTATTTTACTTTTCAGAGTTTCAGAGAAAAGTTATGTTCCAACTTGCTGAAATTAAAAACATTTTAATAAATAAAACTGTACAGTTCTCTAATGATACAGAAGGTTATAAACAACTTAAAAGTTCAAATAAACTTAATGTTTTGAAAAGAAAAATTGCAAATGGAGATATCCAATACATCACTTTTGTATGCATGAGTTTCATCTTTATAGTTTATATGTTATATTATTACAATATTTCTTTTGAATTTTCATGAACATTTTCAATGTTTCTTTCGCATTTTTTTTTTTAGGTAAAACAGTTATCATTAATTGGCGGTAAAAATTCAGTTGATACAATTAAAAATATTTTGCTCTTGTAAGTAATTAGCATAAGTTAAAATATTTATATAAAAAATACTTTTGTGTTTTGTTATCTCTCCAAGTGCTATAAAAGGAGAATCAGAAGCTTATACATGTTTTTTTATTAAAAATTTCATTGATTCATTAATCATTCTTTATATTTATTCAGACAAACTGTCTTAGTAAGTATTTATTTTAAAATTTTTAATTTTTAATTGCATGAATTACAAATACATTATAATTTTATTTGTTTTTAGAGCTAACATATGAAGCTTATAGGCTATTTCGAACTTAAAATTAAAATCATTCACTAAAAGCCAAGACAGAGTAATTACTATGTTTCAAAACATTTTTATTTTTAATTTTTTTATTAGGTTGGTGGGTTAAATATGATCATTTAAATGAGAAAATGTATACTAGTGCAACTTGTAATCTAGTAAAACAAATATGTATTGTGCTTTCTCTTTTTTAATAACTGCATGTGAAATTGTTGAAAATGTCATTTCTATGTGTTTTCTTTTTTATGTTGGTTGAGGGGAAGGGGGAAAACCATCCCTCTCCTCAAATTGTACATCACTAATGTATGTTCTATAGTAAAAAAATATTGCTTTATGTAATACAACAATGTTTTCAATACTAATGTATGTTGTAGAGTTATAAAAGTTTATTTTTCCTTTTTAACAATACATTTGATTATTGAAATAAAGATCATGTCATATATATATATATATATATATATATATATATATATATATATATATATATATATATATATATATATATATATATATATATATATATATATATATATATATATATATATATATGTATAGATATATGTATATATATATATATATATATATATATATATATATATATATATATATATATATATATATATACACTCTCAAAAATAATGTAGACAAATTTATCTACAAATTATGTAGACACGGATAAATCTACAGTTTTGTAGCATTTAGTTTAGTGACGCGTTGAGTGAAGTCTAAAAAACTAAAACTATATGCTAAAAAAACGGAATATTTATTTGCGTCTACATAAATTGTAGATAAATTTGGCACATTATTTGCGTTGACCGCCATAACTTAGGTAAAGTTACATATCAGTCCAGTAATGGCGCATGGCTGATTTCATCCATAAACTTTATGGGTTTAAATTTATTATACCTTCTTAAGCAATCTGTAAAAACAAAATTGCTACTTTTTAAATAAAACATCATTTTTAAATAATTGCTACTTTTTAAATAAAACATCGTACTAACGTATTATACATCATGTATATTTGCTTCGTATGTAGATCGGTAATAAACGACATAGATCAATTTATTAAGCATATAAAAGGGCATAAAATTACTGGTTCATTGAAACTCCCGTTTCGTTGTATGCAAATGCAATGCAGTAGCACGTTTTCAACACTATATAATTTATGCAGACATTTGAAATCATATCACCTAAATACTTTTGAAAGCAATGTAAGTTGTCTTGTTGAAAACTTTACAGAAAGCACTGGTACTCTTGAAAGCAATGGAAGTGGTTGTGTTGAAAACTTTACAGAAATTAATAATAACTTTGATTTCGATAATACAATTAGTGATGAAAACGATTTGGATGAAACTATTGACAATGACAATTGTTTGGATATTACTAATAATAGTATAAATGAATTGTACAATCAACAACCAAGTAATGAAGAAAACTATGCAGTTGCTATTGCAATGGTTGCAGAACTCAGAGCTAATAGTAGCATACCATTCTGTGTTGTGCCTGATATTATTTCTTCATTTAATGTCATGACCAACTGTTCTCTTTCAGATTTATCCAAAAAAATATGTTTAACCATTCAGGAAACAAAAGGCATTTCTAAAACAAGCAAACAAATACTTCTCAATAAATTGATGCCAATTTTAGATAATGCTAGGTCTCCCTTAGAGTTCATTAAAACAAGATATCAGCAAGATTCTTTTTTTGAAAAACATCAACTTTATGTAAAACCTGAATCTGTTTTATTTGGGCAAAGGTTTGAGTGCCATAATGGTAAAGATAGATTGGTGTATGATTCCTTTCAATATGTTTCTGTTGAAGCCACCTTACGATCATTGTTGTTGGATAATGATTTTTGTTCACTCCTTTTTAAAGTTCATAAACAAAGTTTTGATTTAGCTGAGTTTTATGATGGTAATTTGTATGCATCCCATTCATTATTTGCTGATAAGAATAAAAAGTCTGTTATGATTCAGTTATTTTACGATGGCATGGGAACAACAAATCCACTACGTGGACAATCTACTTTATGCAACGTAGGAGTGTTCTATTATACTTTTAAAAACTTACCAAATAATTTAAATTCATGTTCATTTGTTGGCTTTGTGCTACTCTGAAGATTTAAAATATTATGGATTTCCTGTTTTAAATAAATTTAAAGCTGAGATAACAAAACTTCAAAATATTGGTTTCAATTGGGTATTTCCAATATTAGGTAGGTAAACTGTGAATGTTTTTGTATTTTTCTCACATAAATACAACACTAAATTGAGATAAATTAGTATATAATCACAATTATAATGTGTATATATATATATATATATATATTATATATATATATATATATATATATATATATATATATATATATATATATATATATATGAATATATATAAATGATATTGCATACTTGAGTGAGCTCTATGACGCTATACTGATTTAGGGGTAGGCGAGGGTATTATATGTATATATATATATATATATATATATATATATATATATATATATATATATATATGTGTGTGTGTATATATATATATATATATATATATATCTTTATTTGTATTGTATTAACTTTTTTATGTAGTTTTATATTAGGTCTATACTATTATTCTTATAATATTTTAGGCGAGCAAACTATTTATGTTGGTTTATGTCAAGTTGCGTGCGATAATTTAGCTTTAAATGGAATTTTTGGGTTTATTGAATGTTTTTCAGCAAATTATTTTTGCTCTATGTGCTATGCAAAACAAAGTGAAATTCAGAATTTATTTACTGAAGATAAATTTATTTTAAGAACTGTTAAGACACATCAGCAGGATGTTCAAAATTTGATGCAAATGGAGAATGCTGGAGTTAACCATGTAAGAGGAGTTAAGAAAGATTCTGTTTTAAATAAAATTCCAGACTTTCATATTACTAATAACTTTGCAATTGATCCTATGCATACAATTTTAGAAGGACTAATTCCTATTAACCTTGCAGCCATTCTTACAAAAATTTGTAAAGAAAAAAAGATTTTTACTATTAACATATTAAATAAAAGAATGTCGTATATCTTTAGTATGATAAGTACTGACAAACGAAATAAACCTCCTGCAATATTCAAAATTGAAGAAAAAAAATTACATCCTTCAATGAAAGCAATGCAAATGTGGGCATTTTTTCGTTTTTTACCACTAGCTGTTGGCGATTTGGTAAATGAAGATGACAAACACTGGAGTTTTTTCATTCAACTTTGTAATTTAGTTGATATTTTATTAGCTCCTAAGTTTACGTACGGCATGATTACATTGCTTCGTGATCTCATTGAAGAACATTTACAATCTTTTAAGGAACTTTTTCCAGATTTAAAACTGCGACCAAAGCAACATTTTTTGGTTCATTATCCAACTATTATTTTTCAAAGTGGCCCTTTGATAGGAATGAGTTGCTTACGATATGAGCTTAAAAATTCATTTTTCAAACGATCGGCTCATATTGTTTGTAATTTTACAAACATTTGCTATACACTTGCTTACAGGCATCAATATAATTCTTTACTTGCTAAATTGACTAAGCAACACAGTAGAGGAATACCTTTAGTATCAAAGTCTAATCGTGTTTGTGTTCATTTATTGCCATTTGAGAATGTGCTATGTTTTAAATATAATTTAAAATCAGATGACCATGTCTTTGTTTCGTACAAAATTCATATTGGTAGCATAAATATTCGAAAAGATCATTATCTAGTTATGTCTATAAATAAAGATGGTTTGCCTATTTTTGGAAAAGTTGAGGCTTTTGTTAATGTAGAAAATTCACTGATATGGCTTGTTGTTGTTTCTTTAATGGAGACTGTAGGATTTGTTGACCATCTTTTTTCTTATGAAGTTAAATGTTATAGTGATGAGCATTTCGAAATCTTAAGTTTTGATACTTTACTTGACCAGCATCCACTTTCTGGATATGTTATCAGCTGCACAAGTTTAAACGAAATTTTAAATAAGAAATTTATTCGTATGCTTTATAAATTGTTTTAGACCTATTTATTAAATTGCTGTGTGCATCAATAGATAACTTTTATTTTAAAAAGTATTTTTTTCTGTTGTCTTTTTTTTTGTTAAAAAAGTTTATTTTGGCTTAATTAACTTTAACTTTTTTTTAAAATTTTTTTAAAAACAGTTCTATTACACACTAATTAATGATTAATTTTTTTATTTTTGTAACTAGTTTCAATTAGTAACAATAACTTTATTTAAAAGAAAAATGAATTCATTAAAAGAAAAGCTATGTGAAGTACTAAAAGTCGACAGCTTGCCACAAGAATTAGTAATCAAACTATTAGGTATTTATATATAAGTTTTAGTGTTTATTAGAAAAAAAAGTTTGTTGATCTTAATAAAAATTTTTATAATTTTTATAATTTTAGTTTTTCTAATCAATTAAAAGAAATGTAATATGTATATTCTAAAATTTGTTCTAGAAGAAGCAATGGATCTCAATTCCTTTGTACTAGTTAATGAAAATGATTTGGTTGAATTAGGTTTTAAAATGGGACAGAGAAAACTTATCATGCAGTGGTTGCAGTCATGTGCAGTTTTACCTGTAGTTGGTTTTATGCAGCATCAAGCTGAATTGTTTCCAGCGTTAAACTTAATAGCTGCACCAATTCAGAGAAATATTTCAATCCCACCCTCTAGTAATGTATAGACTTTTTTATTCAAAGTATTTGTTGAAGGCAGAATCATTACTATATGATCCATCATATGTTTTTTTAATTAAATAGATATATCCTGTAAAAGAGGTACTCTGTAAGAATGACAACAGTTCCGCAAGTGTTCACGGACCAACACTTGTGACAAAGTTGTTAAGCGGTGAAATATATTCAACACAAGAAAGACACTTTTTAGTGCGAATTTTAGGCCGATATCTTATGGAGGTTGCAAAAGTGTAAGTAAATTAGTATCATTATTTTGTCTTTTTGTATTTGTTAATATGTTTGTTTTAGTTTCATAATAAATCTTACTTTATTCAGAAAGGATATGCCCTCAAAGGAGGAAAAATTAGCTATGGCTGTTTCAATAGTTACAGTTTTCCCTTGTCTAAAAAGTAAATTTACGGAATCTGGTCACGTAAGTGTTTTTGGATTTATTAGGTTGTTTCATTAAAATGTGAATTATTCTATGCGTTAACAATATTTTGGATTTTCTGTTAAAGAAAATTGTATTTTATACATTTAGGAGCATTTTTATTGTGGAAAATCTCATACTGGCCACATTGAGATTTATGTTAGACAAAGACGCTCAAGGTCTAAACATATAATCACAAAGTGGAATCATAGGAAAGGAACGTAGGTTTTATTATTTTTTAAAAAAATTTTTATCATGAATGATTGTGTCAATATTTTTATGATTCATTGCTATTATTAGACCACCTTGTCGAGAACTTGTTGGTGATGAAAATTTTGAAGTTGAACGTATACTCCGAGAACGTCGTCCAACAGTTCTTAATCAAGAAGAGTTGCTGCACATGATGGCAGAGACTAGAATTTTTTGAAGAGATTGGATCTTAAACACTAAACCAAATGCTACTCTTATCCTGAAAAGATATCCGAGGTTTTTGGATATGAATGAAACTGTAAGTTATTTATTAAAATTCAAATTTAAGTTAGTCTACTAAAATCTATGCTGCGCTTATATTTGCATGTGCTTTTTGAAGTTAATCCAAAAATCCAAGGTGTGTTTTAATTTTTATTATGTTCTTGTTTAGATACGGCAAGAGTTTTCGTTTTTAGTTGGAAAGTTTAAAGATATGCGAAATCAATGGACATTATGCAGAGATGTAATTTTACAACTTGCAGTAACTGCTTCTGTCAAAGACGAAGATTTAAAAGAAGAGTTATTTTGTATTAGTGCTGTTGAAAATGAGTTTGATGAAGGTTTTAATTAAATTATTAATTGAAGCTTTTTTTTTTAAATGTTTTTTCATATTAAAAGTAATGAAATGTAATATAATTATCAAAGCTTTTTTTTTTATGTTTTTTAATATTAAAAGTAATGAAATGTAATATAATGATAAATACAATGAAAAGCTTTTTTTTAATTAGCAAAAAAAACTATCGTATTTTTTAAAGCACTTCCTTATTTATTGCCATCTCCACCAAAGAGAGGAAAGAAGGAACCTAGGAAGTCTGGAAAAGCAACATCAATGCGTTTTATTGTTGAACTTGAGGTTATTATTAAGTTATTTGTTTCTTTTCTAAAAAATTTATTTCTGATGATTTTTGATATTTCTGATATTTTTTCATTACTGGATTTAAAAATAATAATTTATCCAATCCAGGCGAGTTTTGCAAAACAGTTGCATTTTTCCAAATACTAATCTAAAATTTGGAAAACTTGTGGAACTTTTAACTTAATTGATATAACTTGTAAAATTCAGGGAATTCTCTCTTTTATAGGATTTTATTGCGGTTTTATTAAACCCCTATCAAATATTTTTATTATAACTTTGTACTAACGCTCTTATGCTGAATCTAATCTGATATAACTTAATTTTAAATTTGAATTGCTGTATAAAATCATCAGTGCAGTAGCTTCATTAAGTTCCACACAATTACATAAAATAATGTGGAAATTCAAATAGATTAGACACAACAAAAGAGCGAATGTATTAAGTTATCCTAAACCGTAGGTTTTAAATTATGCCGAATATTACTTTTTTCTAGAATATGAGCGTTGATGCTGCTATTGAAGTCTTAAATCTAGATGGGTGCAAGCAGCCGTTGATTTTTATACTAGGAACGGCAGTGTACATTAAAGTGGATTTAAATGCCATATTGGTTGAAGATGCCGATTCTTTTCCCGAGGTGGTATTACTTCTTTTGGCAACGTTTTACGTTTTTGACCTAGAGTATCCGGATGAATTGCGAGTTTTATTTTCGTTACTTGAAAAGATTTGTGGCATTCCAGCAACAGTTAATAGCTCAGTTGCCAATGACTTTTATAGACTACTGAACCTTGAGTAAACTTATAAGATAATATTAAAACCAAAATAATATTTGTTAATGTTTTTAAAAACAATATTAATTTTTACAGTATTTTCTATGTTTATTTGACTTTGGCATTCTATAACTCCGTGTAAATTTTCTAGAGTTAAGTTATAAAAAAATAAAAATTATAGATCATGTTAAATTTTTTTTTTGAGAGAGAGTTCGTTAAATATTTTTTAGTTAACTTGCATGCTACTATATATATATATATATATATATATATATATATATATATAATATATATATATATATATATATATATATATATATATATATATATTAACTATTATATATATATATATATATATATATATATATATATATATATATATATATATATATATATATATATTATGGTGTTTATGATAAAATTAACATTAAATCTAAATTAATCGGCAAAAAAAACTCAAAAAAGCAACAATAATGTAGATTTATTAGAACACGCTACATTTAATGTAGCGTTTTTTTCTACATAATGTACGCGAGTGAAACTTCTACATTCAATGTAGATAATCAAAAAACTACAAAGTTGTAGATAAAAAAGCAACACTATTTGTAGATATAATGCTACATTAATGTAGATTTTTCCGCGTCTACAAGTAGTGTAGACTTTTTATCTACATAAATGTAGGTGAGTGAAACATCTACATTTATTGAACGCAAAATGGCTACATTTTGTAGATAAAAAGACTACACTATTTTTGAGAGTGTATATATATATATATATATATATATATATATATATATATATATATATATATATATATATATATATATATATATATGTATATATATATATACATACATATATATATATATATATATATATATATATATATATATATATATATATATATATATACACATATATATATATATACGTATATATATAAATATATGTATATATTTATATATATATATATATATATATATACATATATATATATACATATATATATAAATATATGTATATATATATATATATATATACATATATATACATATATATATATAAATATATGTATATATTTATATATATATATATATATATATATATATATATATATATATATATATGTATATACATATATATATACATATATATAAGTATATGTATATATTTATATATATATATATATATATATATATATATATATATATATATATATATATATATATATATATATATATATATATATATATATATACATATATATATACATATATATAAATAAATATATGTATATATTTATATATATATTATTAGAATGTATGATTATTGTATTAGGGTGTTTTAACATCACACCACATCTGTGGCCAACTCTAAGATCACCTTATTTTGTTTGGCAGTGTTTTGGAATCAAGTTATGGCAATATTTTGTTTATAAAATATAACAATTATATTAAAAAAGTGCTTATTTCTGACAAAAATTGTATTTTCTTAAGGGTTAGATGGTGTTTCATTACCCCCTCTGGCTCCCAAGATACACCCTGCATCCAGGCACCAAAATGAACTTGTAGCTCATTAGTGCACATATCTTGTGATACCAAGATATAGGTATTTGGATAAAAATTGACAAAGTAATAACAATTTAAGTAAAAAAAAATTATTTTGACCACAAATTATTTTGACCACAGTTTCTTCAACAATTCCATATATCTAAAATTTGTTATTAAAATGTTATAACTTTTTTTAGAATTGTTCTTTTTTAATAATTTTTTTCACCTTTAAAATACTGTATTGAAGGCTTTTCTAATGATTTATAACACTCTACTATATTATCAATTTAAAAATTTCAGTGCGCGTACCTAACAGTTCAGCTTCTCTTTTAAGCAATTCGTCTCTGAAGACAGTTAATGTATTGAGACTTCTAACTTCGATTGAATTGTTTGAAAAAGCTTCCTACTATGCGAGGTACTCCCTTTTCGTTAAACAGGTTAAAAAAAATAATTTTTCTAATCTTTCCAGTGTTTTAGTAGCCTGTGTTTCTTTTGAATGTTCAGATCATTTTAAATTAATTAACAGTGAACCAGCTTCTGAAATTATAATAATGGAAGCATTGATCCACTGCCGAGCTAACAAGTTTTCTTCATTCCATCTCTAACTAGTTGTCATCAGTTTTAAATATTCCTATTAGATCAATTTATCCTGATTTTGGCTTAGAAAAATTCAAAAAACCTTTTAATACAATTATTTTTCCATTTCGCTCAATTACAAATCAAGATCAAAATGTTTTAAATATTTTATAGTGTAATACTGATATTATGTCAGTAATGCAAAATAATAATTACTGGATACCGAACCATTTTTTACTAATTATTAAAAAGTCTAAACTAATTTCTTGTAATAATAAAAATTTGGCTGTAAAAAACGATGCTTCTTATCCTTTACACTTTTTTAGTCCTAAAACTGAAACAAATAAAAAAAAAAAACTTGATTCTGTAAAACATCTAAAATTAACTTTAAAAAAGACAATGCTTTCATAGAGTTGCCTTTTGAACCTTCTGTAGATTAAAAAATAGTTAAGTCATTAGACTCCAACTCAGTTATTATTCCTTCATATAATGATTTAAATTCTTTGTATGATGTTTCAACATATGTTGTTCAGGGTAAACTTTAAACCGCTGGCAAAGATGATTCTATTTTGTTAGATATGGTAAACAAAGTATTTCGTCCTAATTTTATGTTTGTTTTTCCAATATCTTTTAATACAAAAAGATCATTTAGACTTGAATGGATCATTCAGTTTTTTTGGTTAGCTTATTCTAGCAAAGAAGATGGAGCTTACTGTCTTCCTTGTACTTTGCTAGGTGCTAGTATTTCAAATAAGTCTGGAATATTAAATTTAGTTTTTGAGCCCCATCAAGAGTGGGGTAATGCTGTTCGTGATTCTAGAAAACATGAGGAAAGTTGTGTTTTAAATGAAAAATCTATGCTTTCATTAAATGCATTGCTTTCACGTTGCAACTCCAGAAGTAATGTTATTGAGGTTGATTTAAATAATTCTCGTTTGAAACTTTTTTCTGATAACTGAAAAAAGTTAGTTACAATAATTAAAACAATAATATTTTTTGGTAGAAGCGATCTAGCATTTTGTAGACATCGTGATGATAGCAAATATCATCCTGATATTGGGGAATCTTCTACACAAAATGTTGGAGTTAGTAACTTTATAGAGCTTTTAAATTTTTGTGTTGATGCTGGTGATCAAATAATAGCTAATCATCTTTCTTCAAGTCCAAAACTACCCAAAACCAACTTATTGATTCTTGTAAGAAAGCAATTGAGGAAGTTTTAATAAAAAATGTCAAGCATTCAATTTTTTTTTAATTCTTTGTGATGAAGCAGTTGACTGTTCAAATACTGAACAATTGTCACTTGTTTTAAGATATGTAAATTCAAATAATGAGATTTGAGAGGATTTCTTAAGATTTATTGATTGCAAGACTGGTACATCTGGTCTTAGTCTATCTCTAAATGTACTTAATGCACTTCAAGAGTTTGGGCTTGGTATTCAAAATTGTAGAGGCCAAGGGTATGATGGTGCCGGTTGTATGGTAGGTGAATATAAAGGAGTTGCTTCTCGAATAAAAGCTCTTTATTATGAAGCTACATTTGTTGATTGTGCCAGCCATAGACTTAGTTTAGTAGTAGCAGCTGCATGCCAAGTTCAAAAAGTAAAATCTTCTTGGCCAAGTAAAAAAAATTTCTTATTTTTTCAACTTATCTCCTAAACGTAGTAACTGTCTCAGAACATTTTCAAGTCCAAATCAAGAAAAAAATAATAAATACTTGTCCAACAAGATAAGTTCAAAACCTGAGAGGTCTTGATGTTTTTTTTGATAATTTTATACCTATTATTCATGCTTTAGAGGAGATGGGGTTAAATGAGTCAAAGGAATATAACAGCGAAACTGCTTCCAAATCTTCTTCTTTTTTAAGATTATTAACAGATTTCTTTTTTAATTTAAGTTTAGTTATTACAAATCAATTAATTGATTTCTTTTATGCAATTACTGTAACTCTTCAAACTAAATCTTTTGACATGTCCCAGCAATGTTTTGAAATGACTAATCTAAAAAATCTTTTATAATAAATTAAAAATAAAACTGATATAAATCACACTGAATGGTACACTTTCGCTCTTAGTTTGGCCAAAACTCTTGATATACAAGAAGTCAGACCTAGATTGTGTAATGTCCAGGTTTACCGGGATAATTATCCAACAAATACAGTTTGTGACTATTTTAATCATAGCATTACTTCTCCATTAATTGAACATCTTATTAATGAGCTAGATAATTGGTTTCCAGAAAATGGCATGTTTGGTTTATAAAGGTCTAGCAGCAGTTCCTTCAACTGTACTGTCCAGAATGCAAGTTAAAAAACCATGGAAATCTGATTTTTATGAATTTTTAAATTTCTATTCATCTTATATGCCTCATTTTACTTCAATACATGCTGAGTAAGATTTATGGGAATTATTTTGGAAAAACCATTCAAGTATTCCTTCAACTGTTGCTGGTACTTTAAAGTCCATTGACATGAGAGGTTTTCCAAATATAAGGACATCATTTATAATTTTAAGAACAATTCCAATAACAAATTGTGAATGTGAAAGAAGTATTTCAGTTATACGTAGGCTAAAAACATACTCCAGAAGTAATATGATTGAGTTTTGCTTTAACTCTTTAGCATTAATGTCCATACATCAATAAATTTTTCCAGATGTTAAAAGAGTCATTGACATTTTTTCAAAGTCAAGTGAAAGACGTTTAGACTTAGCTTTTATTTAGTAGCGTACTAACATTTGTTTTACTTTTTTCTTATTTTTAATTTGATTTTTACAAATATTGTGTGTATATATATATATATATATATATATATATATATATATATATATATATATATATATATATATATATATATATATATATATATATATATATATATATATATATATATATATATATATATATATATATATATATATATATATATATATATATATATATATATATATATATATATATATATATATATATATATATATATATATATATATATATATATATATATAACTTCAATAACAAAAATTATTATTAAAAAAAAACAATTTAAAATTAAAAAAAAAAATTTTATTGTGAAAAGAAAAGAATCCAGAAATGGAGGACTAACCTTTGTTATTATACTTCTAGTTACTTAACCTAATATTACTTAACATTAGTAAATAACCTAATATTACTTTACATTACGTGCCTATCAAGAAAAAGAATGAATCCAGAAATGGATGGCTAACCTTAAGCAACATTACTTTACATGACGTGCCTATTAAGAAAAAGAAAAAATCCAGAAGTGGAGGGCCAACCTTAAGCAACATTACTTTACACTTTGTGCCTCTCAAGAAAATAAAAGAATCCAGAAATGGAGGGCTAACCTTAGGCAAAATGACAGTATACAGATGAAGTGCAAAGTCCTATGGCTTACCTTCTCGTTGGTGCACTTTGTTAAGTAAATTAGGCTTAAAATTACATGTCTAATTTATGAACAAATCAGCCAAGGCAACATTTATAAAAATGCCTGCATTGGTCAAGCTTAGGGCAAAGTGCCCTAATAATGGCCGGGTCTTATTAAGAGCCAAATTTGGGTCCACTTTTATTGCATTTATTTATTTGGCGGAACATTTATCTAGTTGTTGATTATACTTTTCTGTTTCTTTAATATATCTATGTTTTAATCTAACTTTTATAAATGTTTTTTTCAGTCTTGATTTTAAGGAAATCTTATTTTTCTCAACGTTAGTTTAAGTGAATATTTTATGCCGTAAATAGTCATTTTTGGTTTTTTCATGCAACTTTAAAACACATTTAACGCAATATTCCTTCAGTAACGGCTTTTTGGTTTATTTTGATCTGTTGTGTACTTTAATATTACTATGTAAACTGTTTTGTTTGTCAATATACGATAGGCAGAAGCATCAATATAAACCTAAACTCCCAGATTTCAAATAGGTCTCAATAATAGCCACTCATTTGACCAAATAAGAGCCACGGCTTTTATTTGTAATATCGTATTATTATGTGGCTATTATTAGGACAATAGTTGAATTTATTGTGTATATAGTTTAAACACAAATTGTGTCACAATAAATTAAACTTATATGCCCTTATTATAAGTCCTAGTAACTTATATGTCCTAATTATATCCTTATTATAGCTTTGCTTAATGTTTATACATGGTAGAGTAAATACTGATTATAGTTAATATAAGGCTTATATTAACTATATCCAGTATTTACTTTACATGTATAAATACTAAGAATAACTAGTATTTACTTTACAGTATTTATTATAGCGGTTTATTATGTTTGTAAGTATGTAATTTTATTTTTATGTTTGTAAATATTTAAAGTAATAGTTTATATATGTATTTTATAATTTATATAATACATATAAACAAAAATTATTATTATTAATATTTACTAGCTACATAACAATTTGAAATATATATATTTTGTATATTTAATTTAATGCTCACTAAGTATACCATTATATTGTATTCTTGTGTTATTTCTGTTACATTGATGTACAGATATGTATGATAACCATACTTTATGCTTGTATACGTATTTGTTTGTGGTATCTGTATATGTTATGATAATATATTTACATTAGATTTTTGTAAGGTCAACTGTTGTAGTCAGTATACCTTATCTTTTAGTTAATTTGAGTAATTATGGGAAAAACCACGAAAATCACAAAAAAGAATAACAAGATTAAAAAGAAAACTGCCTCTAGTTTTAATTCAAAGTTGAACCAGAAAGTGACAAATGTAAAGAGATTTCAGTGGTCCAACAGCGACATGAAAAATGCAATTGCAGCTGTTCAAAACAGTTTAATGTCGCAACGAGAAGCTGCAACACAATTTAATATTCCGCGGTCAACCCTTGGTAAATATCTTAAAGGAGATTCAGTTCTTGGTGTCAAACCTGGACCTAGTCCAGTATTATCAATGAATTTAGAGCTAAAGCTAGTTGAATATGCTGCAACAAGAGCTGCACTTGGATTTGGATTTGGAAAAAGACAATTTAAAAAATATGCTTCAGATTTAGCCATAAAGCACAATTTAAAGTTTAAGCATTCAACTCCTTCAGAAAAATGGTGGCGCTCATTTAATCAGCGACATAAAAATTTAGTTTTGCGAAAGCCTGAAGGTACTTCATCAGTTCGTCATCAATGCATGTCTATACCAAAAGTAGCTAAATATTTCTATTCACTGCATGAAGTTTTGAGGGACACTCATGCCCTTTTAAAGCCTTCATTAATTTGGAATATGGATGAGTCTGGGCTGCAGATGGATTTTAAACCTCCAAAAATAATTGCAAAAAGAGGTACAAAACATCTTCAATCTCGCACATCTGGAAAACGTGAAACCATAACCATTATTGCTGCTGTAAATGCTGCAGGTGGTTCAGTTCCTCCACATTTGATAGCAAAAAATAAAACGGCTAGATCTCTTCATTCTTTTAATACTGCAGATGCACCATCAGGTTCAAATTAGAGTTTTAGCGAGACAGGTTGAACAAAGCAAGGAATTGCATTTCTTTGGTTCACTAATACTTTCTTGCCTAATATAGGTAGAGATACGCCACAGATTCTCATAGTAGATGGTCATGATTCACATAACTTTGTTGAGTTATTATCTGTTGCAATCGAAAACAACATACATATTGAGGAAATGCCAGCACATTGTTCGCATTGGCTTCAGCCTCTAGATCGCACAGTATTTGGTCCACTTAAAACGTATTATAATCAAACATGTCATGAATTAATGAATGAATATCCTGGAGTTACTATTAACAAGTTAACTTTTTGTGGGCTTTTTAGGAAAGCCTGGGATCAAGCTCTCACAGCTGATAATATTATTTCAGGGTTTCGATCATGTGGTATTCATCCATACAATCCGTCTGCTGTTCCAAGCACAGCTTACTTGCCTAATTCTGTCTATTCGTTACAACAGCTACTTGACTCAAATGATTTGCTTGAATCAAGTCTGCATCCAATTAAAACTGACACTAAAATAACAAGATCAGAATATGCAATAGAAGAGGAAGTTGATTTTGAAGTAGAATTGGTTAATAAACCTGGAAATATTTCTGAATGTAAAATAGATAATAGTTTGATAAACCTTGACAATAATTCGTTGATATGGGATACCCATTTGACTCATGAGCAGTTTACAACTTTTAATTTCTGTATTCAAAATGGCTACGACATCCCAGATCCTTTGTATAAATTATATAAAGAATTCAAACTGAAACAGATTTCATGTACAAATACCATTTTAGAAATAGATGACTCTGCTCCGATGCCAAATGAATCCATAGTTACTATTCCATTTCTAAGTGAAACCATTGTTCAGCAAATTCCTGTGCCAAATGAAACAAATGGGCAATCTAGTTTTTTTTCCAATGAAACCACTAATGATTGTAATCGAGTGCCAATTGGAGCCATTGTTCAGCCTAGTCTGACACCAATTATGTTATCTACAAACCATTCAAATAATGATAGTGACAATGATATTTTGCCTTATCCAAAGATATATTCCATCAAGTCAAAAGAAAATCGTAAAAAGGTTTAAAAATATTTTGTATTAACTTCTCACGAAGCAATGCAATCTAAAGTAAATGATGAGGAGAAAAAAAAAGAGAAAGTCGCAGCAGCTGAAGAGAAAAAATTGAAAAAGCAAAAAGAAAATAAAGCACAACAAAAACAGGAGAAAGAGATACAAAAGTTATCTAAAAAAGCTAACTCAGTTAGAACGAGAGAATTCAGTTCAATTCCAAAGATATTGGAATTCAATATCTCTTCAGATAATCAAAATATCTGTATTAAAGTACCAGATAATGGAGTTATCTCCATCGATAATGATACTAGTGAGCTAATGTAAATAGATTATTATCAGCAGTTCATAATAAATATATTGTGCAAACTTCTTATTATTGTAATACTATCAAAACTTCTAATATATTATTGTAAAGCTTATTGTCCATATATTGAAAATTGCATTATCATATGCTAGTTGAAATCATATAACAGCTATATGCTAAAGCTATTTTTTATTTAAAACTTGTTTTATGCTTGATTTTCTATAAAAGTAATTAAAAAGTTTCTTAATTTATTTTTTATTTCCTTTTTGATAGACTGTCTTAATTTGAATAACAAATAAAAACTGTTTAAGTATCAACCAAAATAATAATTTTAAGCGAAGTATAGAATATTTTACTTTTAAAAAAAAAAATCTTGGTTTATAGTTCAATAAAGTAGATCCTAGTTC